ACCTTGGTCTTAGTCCATTGCATTGGTGACCTCATACTACGTAAACACCATTGCCAATATTCCTCGGACTTTCAACCCCACCTCCGTAACCTCCATAAGCTCCGCAACCTCCGAGCTTCGCAGATCACCTTCGGCACTTTCGCCGCTTGTAATGTATCTTTCATGTTTTCCCCTCATCCCTATTTGGACTGCTGCTTCTTCCCATTCTAGCCAGTTTTAGTCATCATCCCCACTTCTCCTCATCCTCCTGCCCCTCTGGGCCTCGCCCTCCCTACCTCCTTTCGGACGTATCACAGGTTCTGCCTTGTGACCTTCGGTACTGCTCCGCTTCTGTCTACCCTTTGTTCCTGTTCGGACATCTTCGTTCCGATTCGGATCCCCTTTGTTTCCTTGTGCTTTGCCCCCTCCATTATATATATTGGCACTTGTACATACTCGTTTTGGGCTCAGTCTGAAATTGACCTGAAATGCCCCCTAGAGACTTCCTGCTCGCCTACTGTGAAATTAAGGACCAAATGGACAAACAGCAATGGCACAGCGCTCCGCTTGAGTTGCTGAGGCCAAGGTCCCTCCATGCTAAGTCTCCGATTCCACTCTGGAGTCGTCTGTATCTGCCCACTTCTAACAGATTGCGAACTTGAGTGTAGAACCACAGTGTATACATCAAAAGCTGCAAATTGGCGGTTTTCCAGGCTGCAGTGCTTAATTATTGTGATAGTGCCAATTTTGGATAGCACAAAAAAAAAAGCATCAATTCTTGGGAAACTAATTATGCCCATAGCTTAATATATGCCTAAACAACATTCCTATGAAGTTCCAGTGCCATTGGAGCACATGAGTCTAGGAGGATGACTTTGAGCATCCCCCACTGTATTCACCAATGACTGCTGTTTGGCATTTCACTTCCACCTAGGGCTCCTAGCAGATTGGATGATCTGTGGATATCCACAACCGCATCCAAAAAATTCTCGGATCCGGTTTTGGATTTTCAGTGAATAATATCTGTGAACTCATTGTCACCTACTGTCCTAGATACCCCTCCTATGTTTATATATATTTTTTCTAAATATCTGATCTGATCCGCTAGGAGCCATATGTCAGGGCACACCCGCCTGACCCGGCTCCACCCGGCCCAACCTGACCCGGTACCCTGCCAGTCCACCCTTCCTTACCCCCTCCCCCTTTCCCTTCTTCCCCCTCATCCTCCCCTCCTCAGTTTCTCCTTATCTTACTTCTCCTTTATTCTCTCTTTATTCTACATGGACAACTTTCTCTGTATCAATGTACAACTGACCCATCTGCAGCGCACCCACCATGTACCTGGCCCGGGCACCTCAGGCGACTTCCCGCTGTGCCCAGCACGTGCGCCTGCACCGGATACCCTCGGGATCTCCCACAGAGACACCCGGGTGGTTACGGCTGTGTGCGAGGGTGACGTGGCATCCGTCATGTGATCCAAGCCGCATGTATATAAATGAACCTGAAGTGGGAACCGAAGAAGTAGCCTTCTTCTCAACTTTCCACTTCAGTCTAAGTGGCCAGGGACCACTGTCCCACATCGGGCCTGTCAGTATGCACGCCCGATCCGCCCCCCGCCAGGCTCTCAGTCCCGGACGCTATACCCGGACCCCCTCGACCCCGGACGAGTCCCTGACACCATAGCAGCCAGGTGTTGATTGGTGTTGATATTTGGGCAATGCATGGTGGGAGAGCTACCTACCAAGAGAAGTGTCGGTGACACCCATGGTTGAGGCAGAGATTTCCATGCACCACATGCACCACATCGCTGTTGATATCTCATGACCAGAGTGGTTTGCATCCCCACTATTGGACTGAACAACATTGCCTCCAGGATGAGAACCCACCTTGCCATGGTCTAGAGGCTCCCCCGGCACCCAATGTGGTTAGCTGGTTATGGGTCTAAGAGGTTCTCTTTGCTGCAATGGATAATGGTGTAGATGGTGCTCACATGTTTCATTATCCTGCACTGGCCTTTATCATTCTTCTGCACCATCTTTCTTATCCACCTTCCATTTTCTTTCCTTCTCGATTGCAGGGTTTAGTGGTTGAGTGGCCTGCTTTCACCCCCACCTTCCACTTTCCTTCCATCTCAATTGCAGGGTTTAGTAGTCAAGCAGCCTGCTTTCATCCTCCATCCATTGCAAGCGATAACGTTGAGGGGTCTCTGAAACACGCGGTTCCCGCATGGACACCTAACAGTTTTAGCTCCTTTCATTCCACAGAGCTGGCATGGTTCTCCAACAAATCAAGAGGCACTTTTTTACATCTGGCCAACAATTTTAGGAGCCATCACACCCCTACCGCTGCAGTTCTCCAACACATCAAGAGGCATGCTTAGCTGCATTTGGCCAACAATTCTCGGAGCCAGCACCCACATCACTGATCCCCCATACACTCACCCCCAGAAACGGTGTAGGAATCCCTAGATTCCGAACCCACACATCCCTGTGGGTGGTGATTGCAAACCTGAATCGCATAGGAGCATGGTTGCATCTCTTTTGACCTCAATGGGAATAGGGTCCTCATCCTGGAGAAGATCATCCTTGGGGGGGGGCAGATTCTTCCTTTTGAGGTGAGAGAAGTGGTTCATCAATGCACTTATGCTCCAAATCAAGTCTGGGGGCAATGTCAGATCCACCATCCACTGCAATCTGACAATACAAATCTTCTGGCTGCCCATTGTTCCACCTCTCTCTGGGGAACCAGTTGTCAGGGCACACCTGCCTGACCCAGCTCCACCGGCCCAACCTGACCCGGTACCCCGCCGTCCACCCTTCCTCACCTCCTCCCCCTTCCCCTCCTACTCTCCTCATTCTCCCTTCCTCACTTCCCTTTTATCTTACTTCTTCTTTATTCTCTCTTTATTCTACACAGACGACCTTCTTTGTATCAATGTACCATTGACCCATCTGCTACATGCCCACCATGTACCCAGCCTGGGCACCTTGGGCGACTTCCCGCTGTGCCCAGCATGCATGCATGCACCGGATGGCTTCGGGATCTCCCACAGAGACACCCAGGTGGCTACAGCTGTGTGCGAGGGTGACGTGGCACCCATCATGTGACCTAAGCCACATGTATATAAAACGAACCTGAAGTGGGAACCGAAGAAGTAGCCTTCTTCTCAACTTTCCACTTCAGTCTAAGTGGCCAGGGACTACTGTCCTGCATTGGGCCTGTCAGTATGCACGCCCGATCCGCCCCCCGCCAGGCTCTCAGCCCCGGACGCTACACCTGGGCTCCCTCGACCCCAGATGAGTCCCTGACACCAGTGTCAGTTGAGGCATGCAATCCCTGGTTTATGAATGAGCTCCAGGATCGGATTGACCCGTGCACCATGAACGGCTCTTACATCCTCTTCTCATCCATCCCCATCAGAGCTGTATGAAGGGATTTTGCTTCGTATTCCTTTACAATATCCATTTTGTGACCGAGGCACTGATCCTTGACAAACTTTGGGAATGGGATTCCGCGATGAGGCATGCCTTGAAGCTCGTATGAGGAGTTTTTCCTCGCTATAATGAGGGACTTTGGGGCGCACGCACTGCTAATGCAGGTGCGCTGGGTGGTGGTCCCTAATAAGAGATGAAATGCAAACAGTCAAAGGTAAAGGAAAGGGGGAAGGGGAAACAAACCATAGTGTGTGCCTGCAACCTCTTCATCCTGCGGACTCTTGAGCATCACGCTCTTTAGCACTGAGGTTTTGTTGCATGACTGCACGTGCGAGTGGGGGATGTGGAGTTCAGCGGGTTCGTTGGACTCAATGGTAACCACTTTGTTCGGACGTGGAGCGGAACCGCTTGGACACTCTTGTGTCACCCATATCCACACATGGGGAGGCTAAAGACTGCATCATCCTTGGCGGGCTAGATACTGGCATCCTGAGCGAGGATGAAACTTCTAAGGAGGAGTGTGTGGTAAGATGGCAACATAAGTAGTTTTTTTTCGTTCCGTCTTTCTTTCTTTCTCGCATTTATTCCCTTTCTTCCTCTCTCTTTGTTAGTCTCTGTCTTTGTCTCTTCCTTCTCTGTCTTGGTGGCTAGGTTGCATTTGGAATAGGTGACATGCAACAGCTTGGTCCAAATTACCTTGATTTACATCACCCAATGGTTTCCGCTGATCTTCCAGAGTTGGACCCTGGGCACAAAGCTTTGTTGAGGCATATGGCATTGCTGTACCTCTCGCCACTTGTGGCGCATGCATTGCGGTTTTTCATGTGGTCTGGTATTCCGCCATGGAGTCTGCCGCACCAGCACTGGCACCACACACTCCCTCTCACACTGTCATCGATCTGAATATCGGGAATGAAGCATGCCGATCTGTCGCGCATTCATAAAAAGGTGCATGGGCATTTTTTCAGCAGCGCCTCACTGCTCCACATCACCCGGCTTCCCAAAATTTCTACGATGGATTCTTGGCTGGGGCCATGAGTCCCTAGATGGATGAATTGATACCAGTGCATAACTCGCCGTCGTACGTACGACCTAAAGGGAGGCTGGTCACCTGCCTAACATGATGCTTACGACCGCCTCAGCGATATTTCATTACATATACTCCTCAAACGCCTTGACAACGGTTTTGATCATTGATTATCGAAAGTGATGGAAGGAGCTTGGTGAACATAGCTCGCTGGATTTCCAGTGTTCACGAGCAAAGCTGGTGCTTCACCGCACGGTCATTAGCGGGGTCAGATATATAGTTTACCTAATAAATTGATCATGTGTTTTGTGGATCGTCAATTGAATCGATATTCCATATTAGTCCTTGACGACGTCAATATGTTTTTTTTTTTTTTACATATGTATTGATTTCGTTCGGTGACATTGCCTCCAACCTCCGTGTTCCGGCCTGGCCCTCACTCTCCTTCATTACTTAGACTGAGAACCACACTCGTTTCACCGCCTCTTCTGTTCTGTGTCAACACGTACAAACCCTCTTTTGTTACTGATATTCATTCACTTTCATCCCCGTTATCAACCATGTTCAGTCTCGCTCTCGGTGCCTTCCTAGCAACTTTGTCACTACTCGTCAACAGCGGAGTCCATGCTGCTCCTACAACTTACTTGACTGAACGTGCCCCTTCGGGGTCCAAAAGTAGGCATCCCCCCCTTCACTCTCGTCGTAACTGTCTTGCGACTGTTTTCTGATAATTCTCACCAACAGAGTAACGTATCCTTCTCACCTCTTTCTCACCGCTGCCTTGCACGATAGTTAACATCCGCGTAACAGAGCCATAGCGTCTCTCTTTCAATGGAACTGGGTCTCGGTTCAAAACGAATGCTCCTTCCTCGCCTCTGCAGGATATGGATACGTCCAAGTCTCGCCCACTCAAGAACACATTACCGGTAACTCATGGTGGACCGATTACCAGTGTGTTTTCTTCTTCTTCTTCTTCTTCTTCTTCTTTCCGTTGGCTTTGCTTTGCATGTTTGAATTTGCGGCGGGCATCGCACCGTGAGCTGCGACTCGGTCTTCCCTGCCTCCGTTCGTTCATTTGAAGGCTTCCACACACCTTCGAATTCTCATATACGCTGATCAGAACCTTCATATTTCAAATTCGTTCTTCATCACTCAATATGGGAACCGAACCTCTCCATATGCTAATGACAACCTTTTCCTCCATTTCAAAACAGAGCGGTCTCTTACACCATCCGATCGAAACGAGGCTCCCGTGCCCAATTCGCAACGATGGTGAGCGTGTGTAATGGGGTGGGAGTGCAAGTGATTGTGGATGCTGTTGTGAACCACATGGCTGGTGCGTTCGTTGTTCCTAGGTGTCTGCAATTGAGTCGCGTGTATGCTGACTCGTGTGGGATTCGTGTTTAGGAATCGATTCGGGATCGGGCGTTGCTGGTCATTCGTTCACGCATTACAATTATCCAGGGACGTATGGTCTAACGGTGGGTGCTTCACTTTCTAAACCCCTTGATCGGACATGTAACGTATGACGTGATCGTTTAGGACTTCCATTATTGTGGTAAGTTTTATGTACGCGACGCCACTCGCAAGCCAGTTCCATCTTATACTCAAACTTCTTTTCGACGAGTGCAGGAACGCCGAATAATGCTATTGGTATGTCTCTATTCCCCTCTTTTTTGGAGGGTCATGGCTTATTTCTTTCTGTGCGAACGTAGTGGACTGGAACAGCGAGTTCCAAATTGAGACCTGCCAACTGGCCAACCTTGCTGAGTGCGTTTGTTTACTCCAATCCCGTCCTTATCTTTCGCACACTCATGGAACCAAAAACCATACGCTAGTCTCAACACTGAATCGGAGAAAGTCCGTGCGAGGCTTGCCGCTCATTTGAATGATCTCTTGTCACTCGGAGTTGGGGGTTTCCGTATTGATGCCGCAAAACGTGAGTCTCAATTTCCTTCGCGTTTTCATCCTCATAACGCATTTTTGCCCATCCCTATCCTCAACACCGACATGCGCCACTCATTGACATGTTCGGATTTGGATCAATGAAAATCAGACATTGCACCTGCGTCCCTCTTGAACATTTTGAGTCGACTTTCGAGGAAGGTGTATGTTACGCAGGAGGTTGTCGATACCAATGGTGTTTATATGAATAAGCATAAGGATGCGGGAGATGTTCAGGTGTATGTGTTTCATCATCTTTCCTTTCACTTTTCTTTCACTCCTTTTTATACTTTCTGCAATCTCTCCGGATTTATGCTATACACCTAAATATTCACTTTCTTTTTTCTTTTCCTCTCTTTTCTCTAGCTTCGGATATGCTTATGCTCTCAAAGCCGCCTTTCTTGACTCGGGCATTGCTGGGTTGAGCGATCTCAACAGTCGAGGATGGCCCGATAGTAGACTGGCGAACGTTTTTGTGACCAATCATGATACAGAGCGTGGAGGTTCTTCGTTGAGTTATACTTCGGGGAATGTAAGTACGAGTTTCTGTTTACAGGTTGGGATTAATTACAACTTTTTATGTGCTTAGAACGTATATACCCTTGCGCATGTGTTCTCGCTTTCTTATCCGTAAGACCTCCTTGATTATAGCCGGTGCGATATTAGACTGATCCTTTGTGATGTTGTGCTGTGTTTTAGCTACGGCACACCTACGGTTCATTCGGGTTATGCCTTCAGCTACTCCGATCAAGGTGCTCCGAATGGGAGTGCGTACCTTTCTTTTTTTACTTTTCTGTACGAAGGGACGGTGGTTAACTCCGTTGTACATTAGATCATGGAACGTGTACCGCCAATGGACCTTCTGGGGGCTGGTACGTCGTTCTCTATTTTTTGCTCCACTGTGCAGAGCTATCAAACCCCTTTTTCTTTGCGTTACAGGGAATGTCAGCATCGCTGGGCGGTTATTGTAAACATGGTCAAGTTCAATAACCAAGTCGGTTCCGCCGCGTTGAACAATGTACAGAAGGGCAATTCCCAGCAGCTTGCATATGGACGTGGTAAGTATTTCTTCGGCTATTTGGTATCTCGGATCTCAACTCTGAACTTTTTTCTTCTTGGTGATGTAGGTTCGGCGGGACATGTGGCGATTAATAATGCCGACTCTGCGTGGACTGTCACCCTCAGTACGAACTTGGCAAATGGCAAGTATTGCGATGTTGTTAGAGGGTCTAAGGGTGGGAATCGATGCAATGGCCCTTCGTACGTTTCTTCTCCTCTTGTTGCGCACAACAGATGCTGAGCTTCGTTGTCCCTCCGGGGGGTTATTAGAATCACGGTAAAGAACAGAAGCTTCAAAGTCACAATTCCTCCGAGACAGGCTATGGCTATTCATGTCGGTGCTCAGCTTCTTTAGTTAGGAAGTTAGGTATCTTCCGTTGGTTATTTGTTATAAGGACCCTGTTTTGGGGTGACTTTCTCCTTTTTTTTTCTGCTCTTACTACATATGAACCAACCTTCCGGTTGTTTTGTTCTTCCTTTCCGTTCCGTTCTCTCGTTTCACTGTTCGGCTACGCTCGTTTGGTACATTGATCGGTTTATTTATTGGGACCCTATTATGCACTCACAGTGCAGTCCTAGTGCATTTTCTGTGGGGTGCGTATTGAATGAACAATTAAGACCTGTTTGCTTGAACCTGGGCTGACTGCAATCAATATACATTTGCTCCTGCTCACCCAACTTACATCTTGATCTTCCACCCAAACCAGTTGTATAAAGGGCTCCTAGCTGTCCCCATGCTTCGGACAAGAGAATGCCTGGTGGGGCCAGGGGTCTGGATCGCAGCCTTATGCGGTGAGGGTATAATCTAGCAAGTAAGCGGGGCGTGGGTGGTCTGTTGGTTGATCGAGGTGTCGGGTACACGCGCGGCAAGCGTCGAGACTCAAGAATTGGAGGGCTGATCGCGCGGCGGGGACTGAGTGTATTTTGGCACCCCGCGTTTTCTGACTCTTTTTTTGTTAGTTTTGGTTAGAGACCGGGGATTCGCTTGCAGAAGGATGGAGAGATGGGGGCGGGGAGACTTGTCGATTTCTCAACGTCGTTCCACACCCTCATTCTCCAAACAAGGGGAGTCAACGGGAAGAGTGATGATATCTGATCGATGGGCGAGTCCCTCAAACGTTGAAATGAGACCTACGGAAGAATGACTAGCCATGCAAGCGGGTTCTGCGACTGCGTAGCATACGGGGTGTAATAGTGTGATGCCCCTTTCTTACTCAAGGGTTCAGCAACGAGGGATTATTTTTTTGAGATTGGAATCGGGACTTAGTGCTAGGGGGTTATATTCATTTAATTAGGCAGAATTATGTGATCCTGCCAACCAACCGTTCAGAAAAATATACCCAGGAGGTTGTGCAAGATAGCGCAAGCACGTCCGAGGCAGGACTCGCTTCGTTACGCGTAACGTCCTCGAATTTCGGCTTATTGAGTATACAAATCAAGTCACGTTGACAGTTTGAACTTGCCTGTTGTTCTCACGAGTCAATTTATGTATTTGTTTTACCTGTCAATGATCATCATCAACATTTCTATTTTTATTTTACATACATACTGATACTCTATTGTTCGTTCGGTGGCATCCTCCCGGCCCCGGCCTTGCCCAGCCTCGCACTCGCTTTTCTTCAACCATCACCGACTCCAAACCACACTCTTTTCCAGTGCCTCTTGTACCAGCGGCCGTCTTTTTCTCTCTCTCTCTTAAACCTCTTTCACTTTGATCCCCGTCATCAACGATGCTCGCCAATACTTTTCTTCTGGTGGCGTTGTCATTACTTGGCAACGACGGAATCCATGCTGCTCCTACAACGTACTTGACTGAACGTGCTCCTTCGGGTGTTAAAAGTTAGCCCCTTCTCCCTGTTGTCTTGCCCCTTCTTGAAAAATGACTGTTTCTCATCCCACAGAGTAAGTAATGTAACTTTTTTCACTTCCCTCCCGCCTCTGCCATGCCCGACGGCTAATCCATAAACCATCCACGTAATAGAGCCATAGCATCTCTCTTCCAATGGAATTGGGTCTCAGTTCAAAACGAATGCTCCTTCCTTGCCGAGCAAGGATATGGATACGTTCAAGTCTCGCCCACTCAAGAACACATTGCCGGCGATTCATGGTGGACCGACTACCAGTATGTCTTCTCTGCCATTCGTTGATATACTCGCTTCCTGCGCCCTGTCGCATTCCCTTCGCATTCAATTCCGTGGTCTCTGTGCGCTGATGCACAGGTTTTTCTTTTTCTCTCCCGAATTCGTTTCTCCCTCCGCACCCAATGAACTCTGTGCTGATGACAACCCTCTTGTTAATTTTAAAACAGAGCAGTCTCCTACACCTTGCAGTCGAAACGAGGATCCCTTGATCAACTCACGCAGATGGTGAACGTGTGTACTGGGTTGGGGGTGGGGGTGATCGTGGATGTTGTTGTGAACCACATGACTGGTGCGTTCGGTCGTTCGTTCTCGTGTCTGCGGTGTGTGCTAATTTAATTGGGATTTAGGAATTGATGGGGGAACGGGTGTCGCCAGTCATACCTTCAGCCATTATAATTATCCGGGGACGTATGATCCAACGGTGGGTACCCAGCTTTCTAATCCTTCTATTGAACACATAACAATCGACACGATCATACCATCGTTTAGGACTTCCATTATTGTGGTAGGTTTGACGCACCCAACGACGCATCGTCTTGCGCATTTTGCCTTGTACTAAAATTTTTGCTCCATGGCTTTTTTGATGAAATGAAGGAACGCCGAATAATACCATCGGTATATCTTTGTTCCCCTCCTTTTTTAGGGCTATGTTCGCTGATGGTTCATTTCTTTCTGTACAAATGTAGAAGACTGGAATAGCGAGACTCAAATCGAGACTTGCCAACTAGCCAACCTTGCCGAGTATGTCGCTTGTTCTAATTCCACCCTAACTTTTTTGACATCCTTATGAAACCCAAACAAACCAGTCTCAACACCGAATCCGAGAAAGTCCGTACGACACTTGCCGCTCATTTGAATAATCTTTTGTCAATTGGAGTTGCAGGCTTACGTATCGATGCTGCCAAACGTAAGCCCAATCTTTTTTTCATCCTCATTATTCCTTACTCTTCCCCCATGGGCCACTCGATACCATGATAATTCCGAACATTTGATTTATCGAAAAAAAAATTGGGACAATGAAAACAGATATTGCACCTGCGTCCCTCTCGAATATCTTGCGTCGACTTTCAAAGCCGGTATATATTACGCAGGAGGTTGTCGATACGACTGGTTACTATATAAACATACATAAGGATGCAGGGGATGTCCAGGTGTGCGTGTCAAATAATCTCGTCCTGCCACTTGCTTCTGTTTTGTTCCACGCTTTCTGCAGCGTTCCGAATTTATGTGTCCAGTCATTAACTCCCTTTTCTTCCCCCCCTAGCTTCGGATATGCTTACGCTCTCAAAGATGCCTTTCTCAGCTCAGGCGTTGCTGGGTTGAGTGGTGTCAACAGTCAAGGATGGCTCGATAGTGGATTGGCGAACGTGTTTGTGACCAATCATGACACTGAGCGTGGAGGTTCTTCGTTGAGTTATGCTTCTGGGAATGTGAGTGTATCCTGTATGAATTTCTGATCACAGGGTGGATTTTGGGGATTCCTCGTCATGATTACTGATACTACGCTTAGAATGTGTATACCCTTGCGCATGTGTTTTTGCTTTCTTATCCGTAAGTCCTCTTTGCTTCTAGCTGGGATGTTGGTCGACTGATAAGGGATTCTTTGTGACGTCGCACTGTGCTTAGATACGGCACACCTACCGTTCATTCGGGGCACACGTTCGGCAACACTGATCAAGGTGCTCCTGATGGGAGTGCGTGTCATATTTTGTTTGTTTCCTATGTGAGGAAGGTGGTTAACTCTCCCATCGTGCATTAGATCACGGAACGTGTGCCGCTAATGGACCTTCTGGGGGCTGGTATGTCGTGCTCTTTTACCTCTGATTTTTTTTAACTCCACTGTGCGGAGCCATTTTAATGTTTTCTTCCATCCGTCGCAGGGAATGTCAACATCGCTGGACGGTCATTGTGAACATGATCCAGTTCTATAACCAAGTCGGTTCCGCGACATTGAATAATGTGGCAAAGGGCAATTCTCAGCAGCTTGCATATGGGCGTGGTAAGCAGCTTGGTTATTTGAGATTTCAGATCTTATTAAATTTTTTGTGGATTGATATGTAGGTTCGGCGGGACATGTGGCAATCAATAACGACGACTCGGCGTGGACTGTTACCCTCAGTACGAACTTGGTGGATGGCAAGTATTGCGATGTTGTTGAGGGGTCTAAGAGTGTGAATTCGTGCACTGGCCCTACGTACGTCATTTTCACACTCTTTTTGCTACAATGCTGAGTGCCAATCGTTGGCCCTCTGAATAGAATCACGGTGAAAGGTGGAAGCTTCCAAGTAATGGTTCCTCCGAGACAGGCTATGGCTATTCATACAGGTGCCAAGCTTTGATCAGGAGATATTCTTGCATTGGCCGTTTGTTACAAGGACTCTCTTTTGTGGACTTTCTTCCCTTCCTTCCCTTTTGCTCTTGCCTAGGACTATTACAAATGAAACTTCTGGTAATTCATAGATTCCCATTTTTCTTACCCTTTCATTCTCCCTGCCCCGCTCCCAGGCTTCACTATTTTGCCACGCTCATTTGGTAAACTGATCACTACATATGTTGGGACCCTAATAGATGTTACGTACAAATAGTTGCAGTCTTTGGTGTTTCTGTTGTGGGATGCGTTGGACAAATATTAGGACTTGTGTGCTGCATGTGATAGGGAAACTTGGCTGACTGATGGTGGCAAGGATTTTGAATATACGTTTGCGCCTGCAGCGTTTTGATTGCGGAGAGCTTCTGGGAAATAGCGCGTAATTTCCCGCATCTGATGTTCCGCGCGGTGAGTGTAAATCGTCTTGATACCGGATTAACACTTCATGTGTCGTCGAGGCTCAAGGATTTGACTAGCAAGGACTGAGTACTTTCGACACTCCCGTTTTGCGTCTTCTTGGTCTGACTTGAAAGGGTGATTGAATGAGAGAGCTTGTAGAGAGGCAGAAAACTGAGGGACCTCATGATTCCCATCGTCACTCCACCTTCTACAAACACGAGGGCCAATCAACGGGGAAGAGAGACCATCCGCCCCCAACTACTTTGCAGAGGATTGGTATGGAAGGAACCTGAGTTGGGAGGCAGTCCTAGCTAGGAGATTTTAATGGGTTACGGCAGACCTGGCCAGAGAAATAGCCATCGAAAGGATATCCTTAAGGTTGAAAGTGCCAGTGGGTGTGAGTTGTTAAAACGTTGAAATGCACCTTCCGGAGGGACAACCAACCAAGCGGCTTCTATAACTACACAGTGGCATGCAGGTACATTAAGATGTCTCTACCCGGGTGTTCAACAAGAATCGTTGAGATTGGAAGTAGAGAATGTCAGATAAAACCAATGTGTTCCGGAATAAGGCACAAAAAAGCTCCGAGAGAATCTTCAATTGGAGGGCTGGTGGGGTTCGCGACCAGAAAATTCGCAGACTCATCATTAGTGGAACGGCGAAAACAAAAACCAAGCGGTTTGATGCGAATGCTATCAACGACCACTAAAATAAAAGGGGCAAGGAATTCTGAATACAGGAAGCGCAGTCCAATCCCACTGCAACAGATGCTGCAACCAATCGCTCAACCCACTTTCCCCCAAGATTCGATTTCAAGGAGTGTCCCTATGAGGTTTGGGGCACACAAAAAGTTGCTTTGGTTCTGAAGGTGGGCACTTTCACTTTGGCAGGGAATACTTCACACCATAGAATATCGGCCAATCTGCGAAGACGGTGGCTGCAGAAAAACACATTCGAGAATGTTCACGTCAAAGACGGAGGGACCAATGTCACGAGCAGAGTGTTGCGAGGAAGCGCTGAACTCCGTGGAGTGACATTGCGAGCTGCGGATCGAGGTCTGGCCTAGCGGCATTAAGAGTTGAGCATAGATCAAAGGCGGTAATCAACGCCATTGGCCTTGGAAGTCAAACCCTCCTACGCGTCATTTATCCGATGAATCCCAACGAGATGGCGAAAATCGAAGCGAGCGGCGTTGAGCATGGGACGTGCATAAGAACTCGCTCTCACAGCAATGACAATAAGCATAAGGCCAGGAACCGGACACATCACTGTAGTTCTCACGGGGCTCATACACACCTCACACATACAAGTCAGGAACCCAGAATATGACGTCCGACGAGGAATAAAATCAGGACATACACTTCACGCAGATATCAAACGGTGGCGCAATGTGCCTTTCAGCGCCTAACTGACCGGATGTAAAAAAAATGTGAAGCGCTTGGCACTCGGTTTCAATTTATTCATTGTTGAAACATCCGTTCGTTTATCTCTCGCCTCAAGTTGCCATATCGCTTGGGCCCGCTGATTGTGCTGCACCCATGTCCCATATCCAATCTCAAGCTGGGCCATCAACCCCCACCACCTTAAATCACAGCCATAGCAATCATGGACATCACTCGTATTATCAGTCTCAGCTCCATCATCAGCACCAGCCGTCACAACAGCACCAGCAACCACAGCACCAGCAACAACGAGTGCAGCCTCAGCCTCAGTCAGAGCCCCAGTACCCTCAGACAGCCTCGCAAAGTCAGCAGAACGATGGTACTTGCTACTACTTTGTCCGAGTGACGTGATCCAAAATATGGTTTTTTTTGAAGCTAACGACTGGAGTCGATCCCTTAAGCGACTAGCTAAATCAGCCGAGCTCAAGTTAGTAATTCATAATCGATTCGCTGGTTTTGCCCATGAATCGTTTGAGTAAGTTTATGTATTGACACCCGACGGTTCAACCTCGGTTTAGGAAGCATGCCTTGACTCTCCAAATGCATACTGCTCATGTCTTGTCGGCCCACGAGGCTCTTCAAGTACGAAATGCAACTATCGAAGATATCAAAGCGCAGAAGAACTGGCTTGAAAGGTTTGTTCCTACACCCCTGCATCCCATATTTCAACCGAACTTTGACCCCTTACACCCCTGATCTCAGTGAAAGGACTAGTTTATTGAGCCAACTTCAACAAGTTACTGAGGACCGTCAAAAGGTATTTGTCGCGAAAGCTCACGTTGGGGGCCCTCAAACCATTTGTTTGAATCATAGGCGGACGCTCTGGAGGCTCGCATGCAGCAGGAGTAAGCACCGAAGTCGTTCTGCCTGGACAGTGCTAAGGGCGTCTTCACCTAGACGAACTGAATTCCAACATAAGATTCAAAGCATCAAAGAAGGTGAATATGCCGCACTGAAGCAGCAAGTTGACTCGCTTCGAGCAGAGCTCGGCATGACACCCATTCGTTCATTACAATCTCTGCTGGATGAGAAGTCAGCTGCGTGAGTAACATATTACCTATCCATCACTCATTCTCGGCACTGCTAACCTCATGCGGTAGTTACCTTCAGAATCGCCGCTTAGAGCAACAAGCCCAACAACATCCTTCCTCCACTTCACAAACACAACCCTCGGTCCCCACCCCCGCCACCGGGTCAGGTTCATCACAGCCTGGTGCGACTTCCTCTCCATCTGCGCACAAGAAGAAGGGCCGTCCTCCTAAACACCCCCGTCCAGAAGGCGATGACCCCCCCAAGGGAGCAGCCACCGGTACCTCTACAGTCGCTTCATCTACAGCTGTAGCAGCCTCTGGTTCCACCGGTGCTTCTGCTACCGGTGCAACAGGAGACAATCCTCCACCCAGAAAGCGCGGGCGACCGAAAGGAAGTAAGAACAATCCCGCACTTAAGGAGGCGAGGGCTGCTAAGGCCGCTGCCGCAGCAGCGGCTACAGCAGCGGCTACAGCAGGTAATGGAAGCAGCTCGGCCGCAGGGTCTTAGGTGATTTTAGCTAGGTCGGGCACGCCGGTAGCGGTATCATCCGTCGTGATTTGTTCATTCTGTATCTTAGTAGCTTTAAATCCTTAATGTAAACGGTTTGCATGTGCTGATAAGGAGGTGAATAGACATGAGATTAGAGACGGAAGGAATGAATGTCACAGGCGGGAACATAGAATAGAGAATGCAACGAATGGCCAGGAAGGAGGATTCTCAAACCGGGCTCATTGCGCAGGAGGCGGGGAGGGATTGCCAGCGGCCTGGTTTTTGAGCAGCAATAACTGCTTTGATCTGAACGCTTCGTAGTGGATCAACGCAGTCGTCTCGATGAGGTCCTGCAGGTGAGTGCTAAGGAAACGAGAATATAAGTAAAGAGCCCAGGAATCGTTGGGGTGATGTAGCTTACCGCGTAAGGAAGTTGCGGAGGTAGACGAACTCGCAATGGCTCTCGTCTTCGACGTTGATCACACCCCAGCGGTTCTTGCGGCCGCGAACGGCCTTGCCATCGATGATAACATTTCTTTCCGATCCCACAACAGCAAAAGGAATGATGTCCTTGAGGAAGAGATGAGTAATTGCCTCATTTTACCTAAATTAGCGCTTACCCGGATACGCTCATTAAGCTGAGCTTCCTCTTCATCATAATCATCCGTATTATCGAAAGGATATAACTTAATGTTGTGATAAACCAATTCTGCCCGTATCCTTTCCTTGAACTTGAGCCGCTCCTCGAGAGTAAGCGAATCTGCCTTGGCAATGACAGGAACGACGTTAACAACTTCGCTCAACTTCTTCATCACAATCACATCGATAGGGCGAAGCGAGTGGCCAGTGGGATTGATGAAGAAGAGACAGCAGTGAATGCGAGTGTCTTGAATGTAACGGTCGCGTTGAGCAGTCAGCTCTTTGCGGAGGTAAGAGGAGTGTTGGTCCTAGTGGGTAAAGATGGGATGAGACGGCTGAACACCCTTCATACTTGTGGCTTGCGAACCTTGATGTACTTCACAATAGGGTCCCAGCTGTACGTAACAACATGTTAGAATTGGATGAACGGAAAACGAGCTGTTGTACAGACCAGCCTTCGTTGTTAATCTGGTCGCCATAGCCAGGGGTGTCAACGATGTTCAGACGGAGTTTAACGCCATTTTCCACAATTACTGAGGGGAATGAATCAGAACCATCAAACTGGATGTCGGTAGAAAACTGACCATGACTAACAGCCTGTATCTCGGTCGTCTGCCTAATGGGCTCGTCATGTTCCAAGCGACCCTTCGAGTCAATGAGGTGCGACGCGAATATCGTGTTGATGAGAGTGCTCTTGCCCAAACCCGTCTGACCAACAACGATGACGTTGAACTGGAACCCGCGCTTAAGGAGCTTGTGCTCGATTTGACGAGTAATAGTATCGAACCCAACATAGCTCGACGCGCGGATTTCCTCTACTGCTGCTGCTGCCATCGCTCAAGAATGTTCGTCAGAGAGACAGCGTTCGGACAAATCACGAATTTTGAAGTGGCGGTAGTTGCCGGGATAAGATCACGTGTGGATCACTGTTCATTGTTTAGAGCAAAATTATCCTGTGTACTATTCTGCACCATAATAATGCATAAGCTGTGTTATCCTGTGCTATCTGAGCAGGTGCCGGTTTAACTTATGGGTGCACGCTTTCCTTTGTTCTTTGTTTACTCCTTTCATTCCTCAATGTAAACAATGTTGGAGGAACCGTGTAGGCCGGAAGAGTTTTCGTACAGCCATATTCCCACATCCGAGTGAGGAACTCGCATCAGCGTGACTACTTAGTCACAACACCTCTTTTATATTATAACTGGTGGACGCCCCCTGGCGCGGCAGGTCCTGCCACTCTTCCATCCTCCATTGTTGCAAAATATATTTGGGTTGAAGATCCAACCACCTCACCCTTTTCCCAATCATCCCCTGTTACAACATATGCTGTTGTGTCCGGAGGGTGTGCGACAATGTCTCCCTCCAGCGTTATGCTTCAGGTTTGTTATAAATGTCATCGCAGAGGAGAGCAAAAAGGTAAGTACATCATGAAGATATCTGTCATAATCCGGAAATCGGGTGCAAAGGTGGACACATGCGGGGAAAGGGGCAGGCCTGATGGGAATTTGGTAACAGTCACCAAACAGAATATGCGCAAGTAAACGGTCACGAATATGCGACACAGTGCAAATGTTGAAAGAAACACTGTGGTTTTCAGCAAGGGGAATCAACTGGTGAGAAAATGGCAATTTGGCAGGTGGTAAAAGGCTGTAAGACCAGGGAGCTAAGGATATTCTTTAAGAGAAAGAGCGAGAAGAAATTGAGTTACTCACTGGTGACATTGGTGGAGGAACTGGAAGGTAGCAGTGGTCTGGAAAGCATGAGAGAAGCAGCGAAGTGGAACAATAGTACAAAGAGGAGGGAGGGAAGGCAGAGTAAGCGGCATGAGAGTGGTGTAGTATAAGTGAAATTGTTGGGAGGACCCTGGGTTATCCTGAATTGGCAATAATAGAGGACCTTGTGTAAGGACTTACAATGTGTACCCACACATTGTCTGTCCTTTCCATACTTCACATCAAGCGCAACTGCAGTCACGCTTCAGTAACTTAAACATCCTGTATAATATTAAGCTGCATTACATCATGTAAATACACATATATAAGATGCGCAGGTAGGAGGAAAGGCTCCTAAGCCTTTACTCCCCCATTAACAATATAGCTGTCAGGGCTCGGTCCTCGATCAGGGACAGCCCGACCTCAGTCCTAGGTGTGTGCGGTGTTCCAGGTGGTTGGGCGCTAGACCCTGTCCTCAGCTCCTCAAACTCACTGAAGGGACTAAGCGGGGATTGAGTTGTCATGTATTACAGAGGGTAACTACAACTTGCCTAAGCGGGGATTGAGTTGAGAAGAAGGGTAAGTTTCCCTATTCCCCGCTTGGCTACTATAAAAAGGAAGTGTACTGTACAGTTCATAACGTGACTCCGGGTAGAAGCCGAGCATGTTCCCGCGACTCGGAAAAGGTGTCACATGGGTTAAGGCGAGTTGCTCGCCTTAACCCACGTGATTTTTCCCGCGGGCTCACATGCGGGCTGAAGCTGTGAGAGGTATGTAGGGATGGGGAGGTCTGGGGAGTGGGGGAAGTCTGGGAAGGTGGTTCTGGGGTGTGGTTGGGTGCCCTGACAGCGGGGTCAGGGGCCGATCCCTGACAATAGCTCATTAAAGCGTATTTGTGTGATGGACCGGGAGTGTGAGGTGCTTATAACCATGCGCTTACACCTTGTCATCAAACGCATTCAATCAAGGTCGAAAAATTTACAAGACCCACTACAGAGTAGTGGGAATTTCGGACTAACCCATGCCAGGCTGTCAGGCACACCCACCTGACCTGCCTCCACCTGGGCCCACCTCACCCAGTACCTCTTCTCTCATCCTGCACCCTCCCTTCCTGTTCTTTCCCCTCTCTATCTCTTTCCTACTTCTGTCTCTATTTCTATTTCTATTTCTTACATGGACGATCTTTCCCTTATATCTATGTATTATCGACCCACCTGCAACATGCACACGACATGCCTAGCTGTCATGACCGACAAATCCCGGGGCTCCGTCAGCGGCGAACCAATGCCGATAGGCAAATCTGCCAACCCGAAACCCATCCTAACCAGCCCCCAACCCCATGTCTGGCCCCCTGCCTTACTGCATGAGACTTGGCCAATAATCAGAACCTAGACCCTGCCGGTATTCTGACCTTACCTCCAGTTCCTGAGCCCTTGGCGCTCCCAGCATTCAGTCATGCCTGCCTTGTCTCCATCTGGACCACACTCATCGCTTCCTGCTATATGGTCACAGCCATGCCCCGCTTCCGTGCATTCTGCACCCTCTGCCCACTCGGCACCCTCTGGCCATCTCTGCACCCTCTGGCCACTTCTGGTTGCCCTTGACACCTCTGGTCAGGTCAACACTCCCACTCCCCTCTGTACCTCTGTTGGCCTTCATGCTGTCCTTGTGTGACAGTGCTGGCAGATCAACCTCTGTTTGCGGACTTGTGTCGGCACCGCACCGACCCCGCTTATTTGCGGACTTGTATCGGTGCCGCACGCTGACCTCCGCTTTTGTCCTCTGGCCATTTTTGTCACTTGGCAACATAACATTCATTCCTTGCTGAGTGCCTATTATGTTCACCCCAATATTGGCATTTGATCCATGTGCTATTGCACTTTCCTATTCATTCATTTAATCCATCAATATTGGTACTTGATCCGCTTTGACCTTATTCATTCCTTGCTTCCCATTTCCCAGGTTCTTGTCCTTGGTTTAGTTTGACAAGTCCCCACTCATTTCTGCTTATTTCCACACTGGACCGACCGGTCCCTCTTTTGATTTCCCTTACCTACTTATACTTTGTAAATACTTTCAGGGACCTCAGTCTGAAATCAACTAGAGTACCCCCCCCCCTGTCTGGTCTGAGTCTCTCCTTCTGCAAAGGGGGCTTCCCCCCTCTGAGTCCGTG